GTTTTAGCCAGCCTGACCTGGAAGGGCAGCTCCTTTTTCGCTTAACGACCCTGGAATGGTTGAGGGGAAACTCCGCTGTGAGGGGCCGGGAGACGTGTGGAGGAGCTGGGAGCCTGCAGCCGGGGCCCAGGAATTGAGAAATCTCAGGGTTGGGGGCTCACAAGAGCTCATTTAGGCAGTTGTTTGGGAGATCAGCTGCTCTGTGGGGTGCTTGGGGGTCTTGGCCCCGAACTTAACCCAACTCCTGACTGCCCGGTGCTCTCGTGGAGCACTGCGCCCCTGCTGCACGTCCCGAGCGCAAACGAGCCAGCTTCCCGACCCCAACCCAATCTCAAAGTCCTGCATCCCGCTGCTGCTGCTGCCGCCGCCGTTGCCGCATATAGCATGTGGTACTTGCCTAACCCCGTAGACTAGGAGCTCCTTTAGGGCAGGGCTGGCGCTGACCTACCCTCTTATTCTCAGTGACCAGCACGAAGCTCGGCAAAATGGCATCAGTAGTTGTTTGCATCCCTTAGGAAGTTCTTAGGAATAGTGGGATAATTTAATTCAGTCTTTGAGTAGGGTATAAGATGAATAAGTATCATTTGACTTGCAAGGAGATGCATCCCATTTAGAGCTTCTGCTGCTATTAACTTGTCTCTGTCTCCCATTAAGATCTTCAAGGGCAAAGACCGTTGCATCTTTGTAGTCTGCTTCTACCCCTGAGCCAGGCAGGCTCATAGTAGGAGATCAGAAAGTATGTTTTGGTTAAACATTGTTTTCCCTGTTTCAAAGCGAAATTAGCTTTTGTCCAGTGTACTGCCATGGAGAGGTTGGAGCAGGATTGTGAGATAATTGTGTTGCATCTTCAGTTAGATAGGGTACTTTTTTTTTTTCATGTTCAAATGTAGGGGCTGAAGCATCAAATGAGCAAATCTAGGAAGCAAGTGGATGTGTGGCTATTTTTAGGGTTCCTTTACACTTAGGTGACATAAAAATTGCTTCAGTCTACAAATTCTATGTCCAGTTTGGTTCCTGGCTACATTGATTTCAAATTTGGGTCAGGACAGTACACATAGGAAGAGACTTTCTGAGATCAACTACCATTTCGCCAGATTCTGTTGTGTGCCAGGCATATGTGTATCTCCCTTTAAAGACAAGCCAGAGTATACAGAGGTTTGCTTAATCATGCTGTTCTAGAGAGACCTAGAGGGAAACATACCTCCTGTATTCATTTGGTACCTGGTTTCATAGGCATAATTTTGAGTTCCTCAGCTCCCTAATAATACATCTCTGATTTGCTTGTAAGAGGTTCAGGACCATCTCTTTGAAGTAGAGTTCACACCAATACCTTCTGTTTATTTTATGATGAGATTACTTTTTTTTTGGTGCTGGGGATTGAACTCAGGCCCTTGCCCTTGCAAGGCAGGCGGCAGAAGCACTGAGCCAAATCCCCAGCCCCATGAGATTACTTTTGACCAGCCTAAAACACCAACTGGCTTATTCTACCTTTATGTGATATTAGGATAGTAGCAAATTTATATTTAAACTTCAGATGACCAGATTAGCCCAACTATAGTACTTGCACATCTCATGCTGCCTTCTCTCACAAGTGAGTATCCAGTTAAAATGATAAATTTCTTGGGTGCTGCTCTAAATACAGATCCTCTAAAATCTCTTTTAGAGCGTTTGAATCACTTGGGAAGTGTCAAATGTAGAAAAGAGCTATAACAGTGAAATAGATGACATTTCTGTGCGACCATGAACTAATTATAGGCTGAGGAGAGCTGCAGTGTTGAATGGAACAATGATTGCAAATAATACTTATACACTCATGCTGAATATGCTTTTTTCACTGTTCTTTCTCAGGGCAGGTAAACCCCCACCTGGTTTACATCTGGACGTAGTCAAAGGAGACAAACTAATTGAGGTATGGCAATACATATCTTCCCTTTTTTTTCTCCCCATTGTAAAGTTTTTCTCAGTGACTCACTTTCCACCCCCTCCAGTGCTTTGTTTTCTAGCAATGCTACTTTTGTTCATCCTGATTTTTTTTCTATTAAAAGCTCATGATGATATAACACATTCGAGGCTCATATCTCCCATAGACACTCAGTTTTTTGTGACTTCTCTCACTTTCCAAATGAAGAGTTTTTAATAGATTATGGTGCTATAGTCCCCAATCAAACTGGAAACCCTATAACTTGGTGAATTTCCTGTCTGAGTATGTGGAGTTGGTTGCATGGATGGCATAAGGTATGCAATACCGGATGAAAAAGAATGATGTAGATTGAGTTTGACTTTTAAATTGCTTCTAAGAGATTTGAGTCTGTCTCTTCAAGTATAGTAAACTAAGCCACTTACTCAGAAAAGATGTAATAGTGGTAAAATTCATTCATTCATTTATTCAAAACATTTATTCTTTACTATGTTCCAGTCACTGAGCTCAGCAGAGGAGGGCAAAACATGGTTCCTGTTCTCAAATCATCCAGTAGAAAGACAGAATTGCATAATTAAAATTAAAATAAATACTATAAAGGAAAAGTGTCAGAATTCCAGCTTTTATACAAGTCTCTAGAGTGAATACCACATGAAATTTGAAGAGAACACAATATTGATTAGCTATCACATTGTGTATATTTTTATTTATTTTGAAACAGCTGTGTAGTCCAGGCTGGTATTGGACTCACTAGGTAGCCCACGCTGGCCTCGAATTCATGACAATCCTCTTGGCTCACCCTCCTGAGTGCTGGGATTACAGGCATGTACCACCATACCTGGCTTGAGTTTTTATTCAGACTGTAAGTTTTCGGGGTTGTTTTGGTTTTTGGGTGTTTTTTTGTTTTGTTTTGTTTTGTTTTTTGAAACAGTTCCACTGTGTAGTTCAGTCTGGCCTTGAACTTTGGCCCCCAGGGTGGGCTCAAACTTGTGATCCTCCTGCCTCAGACTCCCAAGTGCTGGTAGTACAGGTGTTTGCACTACACCTGGCTTTGTTTCTGTTTTTTAGCTACTAGGGGTGGAACCGAGGGCACTTTACTGAGTTTAAAACAAACAAAAATCCATATTGAATTATTTATCAAGAAATGGAGATTAAGCTCTGTGGTTGCTCAGCTAGAATTTAGGTTCCAAGCCCTGTTATTTGCATTACTGCTAGCTTGAAAAGCAAGTGAAATCTGCTAAAAGATCCCATGTAAATGTATTGTTGTCACTTTCAGGATGTTATAGAGATAACCAGGTATTTTGCAAAATATGAAGGCGTGCATGAGTTGTGATTAATTCTCCTGTTATTAATTCAGGAGAATTCATTAGGCTCTCCTGCTTTAATTCATTATACTCTCAGCTAATCACACAGAGCCCCTTTGTCACAGGTTCTCATCGAACCCAGAATCTTTCCATTGAGCTATCTCTCCAGCTCCTTTATTTTTTTAATTTTAAACCAGGTCTGCCTAAGTTGGGATTCAAACTACCGGCCATCCCACTTCAGCCTCCCAAAGTGCTGGGATCACATATGTTTGCTGCTGAACCAGACTGTGTTCTTTGACCTTAAAGATATTCAAGATTTTTAAAGATTCTCAAAATATCAAAATTATTCAAGGGAGAACAGCCTTGCTGGTGCCTGCCTCTAATACTACCACTTGGGTGGCTGAGGCAGGAGGATTACCACGAGTTTGAGGCCTGCCTGAAGTACATAGTGAGACCCTGTCTCAAAAAGAAAAGATTCAAGGGAATAATTTAAAATATTTGTAAAAACTCTTTTACTATAGATGGTTCCACAAATGCAAAATATTTGTTGCTAAATAGAACAGCATGAAAGCCAGCGATTTGGCTTAGTGGTTCTGCTGCCTGCCTTGCAAGTGCGAGGGCCCAAGTTTGATCCCCGCCCCTCAAAAAAAGGACAAAACATAGAAACAAAATATATAATTATTTGGGACCGGGGATTTAGCTCAGCGTTTTGGTGGCCTGCCTCACAAGCGCAAGGACCCGAGTTCAATCCCCGGTACCAAAAAAAAAAAAAACAGCATGAAGCTTGAAGTTATGTGGAAATCTCTTTTATTATTAGAATTTAATCTTTAGCTTGTAAGAGAAACAGGCAAGGTGGCCTGTCCTTAAATGGTAGCATCATGTTCTTTTGTGAAAATTTTATATTTTCATAGCACCCTTAACTTGTGCAGCACTCCGCTGATTACTGCTTTCTATTAGCTAATAATGTTCTCTTTCAGTGTTCTAAGTGTGTCTAGTTGCTACACAGTTGTCAAATTGAACACCTGAAATATATATTGTTTTTCGGAGGAGTAGACCTGAGAGGGATGCATGTGTATTTGTGTGGTTTTTGCAGGGCTGAGGAATGAATCCAGGGCCTCAGGCATGCTAGGCAAATGCTGTACCTGTGAGCTATATCTCCAGCCCAGTGTGCTTTTGTTTTTAAGGATTGAGACTTGATCAGCTGCACTTGATACTAACCGAGCTATCTATATCCTGGCCTTATATCAAAAGCTTGTGATATGTTGTGATAGTTGGGTTGAAAAAGTGCAATATTAAAACAAAAGCCATGAGATCATTAAGCCCATTGTGTAAAGATGCACTCTGAGTTATAACTCAAAGGCACAACTGGACAGTGGTATTCGCCATAACTAGTCGGGAAGTTTAACCTCAAAAGTGACTATGGTGTCTGGTATTGTGGCGCTTGTAATCCCAGCACTCTAGAGGCTAAGGCAGGAGGATCGCTGTGAGTTCGAGGCCAGCCTGGGCTACATATTGAGTGCAAGGTCAGCCTGAACTGCATAGTGACAGTCTGTCTCAAAAATCCATAAAAATAGTGACTATGGGAAGATCAATGCATTATTTCACTGACTTGTTAACACATTTTCTGAATTTGAAGACATACTGTTTTTCACTAAAAATTCCATAATTTTGACGTTTCTCTAATTGGGATGCCTTTGTTAAGTCCTTTGTCTTTTTTCCCTCAAACTCTTCAATCTCTGGTATAGCCCTGCTACCCTGGAATGATAGAAATCTGATCATTGTTATATTAGAATGTAAGAGCTGATATTCCTTGTCACCCAAATTTATCACAAATTTATTTTGTGAAAAACATCTGCATTTTAATATGAATGAGAAATGCAGTGAGATTCAGACTGAATAAATATTACCAAGAGAGGCATCTGTGGCCTGAAGCAGCACAGGCCTGTTCTGTAGCACATTAAGGCAGTTTAGGCAGGGCCAGAAGGAAAAAATAAAAATAAATACTACCAAGACAGCACAAGATGTTGAAATTTCAGGGCTTTTAACTTGAAAGCAGTGTCATATTTTTAACACAAGTTTTAAAACTTAGGTCATTGCAAACATGAGGGTAACTGAGCTGCCAGGCTGTTAAGTCCTGGTGCTCTATAGCAGTTTGGGCCTGCAATGAGCTTTACCAACATAGATAGGGGCTGTTGTACAGGTTTTCCCAGAGTTGACCCACATACCCAAGCTAGCTTAAACTGATTGAACCTTAAAGCTCAGCTTGAAAGAAACTAAGTGGTTATTTAAAGAAAAATTAAAAGTGTGACCCACAGAACTTACTCACTCTTTAAAGTATGCTTTGCTATATGGTATATCTTTTTTCTCTCATTGAGTTTATTGGTACATTTTAGGTATACAGTACAGTTACATTCATCATTGGGATCTTGTCCCTTTACATGACAGGTCTTGGTTCTCATTTTTTCCCCTTACCCCTGCCCTCCCTTCACCCCCTCCTCCCTTCCCTATTTACAAATACTTTATTTCCATTTTCTCATTTTTTTTCTTTTCCCTTATTTCCTTTCCCCTATCCTTCCCACTTCCCCTACACCTTTAGCCCTTTTCTTCCTGTTTCACATTGTCACTTGTATGGTATATCTTTTGATGTAAGTGAAACGAGGAAAATATATAATGTAGTAGTTAAAAGAGCTTCGACCCTAAGTCAGGGAAATCTGAATTTTTTTAAAACCTGAATTTTTAAACACAGCCCACAGTTAGTTAGCTCTGTAAACTGGAGTGGGTTAATTAATTTCTTTATGCCTCAATTTTGTCAACTATAAAAATAGGAAGGACAGTTTCTACCTACCTCATTTGGTGGTTCTCCTCATGTGAAATGGCATAAGATAAAATTCGTAGCACAGTGTATGACATATAAGCGCTCAGCAGTTTTTTGTGTTGTCAGTGCTGAGTCTCTTTGGATGAAGTGTGAGGACTCTAAAGCATAGGAGAGGATAGAGTAGCCTCCTGTGAGTTGAAGACCTAGCCAGGGAAAGAGGCCCATTAATTCCTAGCCTGTAATTAATGACTGTTATCAACTTTGTGCTGTCTTTTCACAAGGATTTTATAAAGTGAAATATAGTGTGAAATGTGAACTAGAACTTAATAAGATTTGTGTTTTGTTTTGTTTTGTTTTTTGGTACCGGGGATTGAACTCCGGTCCTTGCGCTTGCAAGGCAGGCCACCGAACCGCTGAGCTAAATCCCTGGCCCAAGACTTGTGTTTCAAGGAAAAAGATAGCATATGTGCATGAAGGTTATTCTTCAAGTGGCCAAACTAGATTATTAGACATAACAAAGGCGTAGTAGACTGTGAGAACTAGAAGTTTTAGTAATAATCCATCTAGTCCTTCATCTATGACAGTCTGGTTTACAACCAATATATGGCAAAGGCTTTATTGATCCAGAATTAAAAGAAATATAAGGACAAGGTGGTGAGTTTTTCATAAAGCTAAATTCAGCTCAAAGAATGGTCTTTCAGGCTGGGTGTGATGGCATATACCTCTAATCCTAGCACTTTGAGAAGCTAAGTTAGGAGAGGATCACACATTCCAGCCTAGGCAACTTACAAGACTCTTTCTGACAATAAAAACAGGCCTGGGGTTGCAGTTGAGTGCTGAGGCCCTGGGTTCAATCCCCAGTACTACGGGGGAGGGGGAGTGATCCCTTGATCCTTCATCCTTGCTCTTCCTACTTATTTGCTAATAAAATGACCTTTCTTGTATAGAAGAATGGTGATACTACTATGACAGGTTTTTGTTTTTGTTTTGAGACAGGGTCTTGCTATGGCCTTCAGTTCATTTAGGTAGTCTAGGCTGGCCTCGAACTCTTGGTAGTTCTCCTGCCTCAACCTCTCAAGTGCTGGGACAGAGGCATGTGCCACCATACTCAGCTTTGTGACAGTTTTTTTGTTTTGTTTTGTTCTCATGTCCTGGTGCTGGTGGTAGAGTGCTTGCTTAGCAAGGCCCTGGGTTTGATCCCATCACTACCAAAAAAATTTCTCCTTTAGGTAAAATGAAGAGTTAACACTCTTTATGTCAAGCTTTTCTCCCCCCATTTTAAGCGACATTTTGCTGGCCTGTGAAAACCCCTTTTCTGCTGTTATATTGAAGCATTTTATAGATTGTTCAGGTATTTTTTACGGGGGGTCATACTGGATATGGAACCCAGAGCCTCATGCATGCTAGGCAAGTTCACCACTGAGCTACATTCCCTCATCTTCAGCATTTTGTTTGTTGTATGTATGTATGTATTGAGACAGGGTCTCACTATGTAGTTGAGACTGACCTAGAACTCACTATGTAGCCCAGGCTGGTCTTGAACTCACAGCGATCTTCCTGCCTCAGCCTCTCGAGTGCTGAGATTATAGGCATGTGCCGCCATGCTCGGCTAGCATTTTTTATTTTTATTTTTATTTTTATTTTATTTTATTTTATTTTATTTTATTTTATGGTAGTAGAAATTGAACTCAGGATCTTGTGCTTGTGAGGCAGGCTGTGGCACCACTGAGCTAAATCCCTGGACCAGCATTTTTTTATTTTTAGATGGTGTCTTGCTGAGATGCTCAGGTTTGCCTATAGGATTCTCCCGCCTCAGCCTCCCAAATAGCTGGGATTATAGGCATGCACCACCACACTTAGACATGTCAGGTTTAAATTTTTTTTTCCTGCTAATACACAGCAACCTCTGAAAATATTTGGCATTCTTTTAGAATCATTCCAGATCTATGGTACCTTGTTTAGCATATTGCAAGTCAGTCACGCTTAGGTTTAAATCTCAACACTGTTGCTTAAACCTGCCAGACCACATTGGATGACTGACTTCATCTCTCTGAATCTATCCTCATCTTTAGCAATAAAAATGATATATGCTTTACAGAGTTGTTTTAGGGATTAGTTTAGATAAGATAGTGTTTTAAATGCCTAATATTAATAGCCCTTTGATACGTATTAGTCTCCCCCCAAAAAACCTGGAAAGTGCCATATGAGATAGTTCTGTGATTGGATATAATACACTCTCAGAGTCAACTCAGCATAATACCTTTTTTGCCAAAGTGAAATGAGACAATAAAGTTGGATTTGGGACTGGTGCATTGATGCCTAGTGTAATTTCAGTTCTTAAACAGAATTCCACATATATTTTGGGGCTATGGCTACATGATTAGAATACATATAAATGTTTATACACCATTCCTTTTCCAACCAAATAATGATCTTCATTAAAATGTATATTTTCTGAAAAACAATCCTAATACTTCCTAAACACGTTTTGTGCTGCTTATTTCCTGTTTGACCTAAAATTAAGAACCAGCAAAACTTTAATTTTCTAGTAGGAAAAAGACAGCCACTAGAACTAGAATTCTTTCATTTATTTATTTATTTGGGTTTTTTTGAGACAGGGTCTCACTGTATAGTTGAGACTGACTTGGAACTCATTGTGTAGCCCTGTCTGGTCTCGAACTTGCAGCAATCCTCCTGCCTCAGCCTCCCGGGTGCTGGGATTACAGGTGTGCACCACCATGCCTGGCTAGAATTCTTTTATCTTATGGGGACAGGACACTTACATCTATAAATTAAGAAAAGTTATTTTCATACCACTCTATATAGTTGAGCACCATATTTAGGAAGATTTATTGCCCCAGAAATGCTAGTAAATTATAATCAGGAAAGAATAGTGAAGACAGAGCTATAGCTGGGTCTGAGGGTAGAGTATTCCTGAGGTCATCTGCATCTTCTGTCTGAGACAAGGTAGGTGGTCAGCATCTTGAAAGGAATGCATGTAGATAGGCAGAGATATTTTTTCCTGTTCAGTAACCTGACTTTAGTTGGTCAACCAATGTTCCTACAATAAAAGAGTTTTTGCTGAACTTGGATGTGTTTGGTACCCTGTGGAAATTTTACCATTTAAGACACAGATCACATTCAGTTTTTGTAATAGAGCTATTAATGTCCTCTAGGTGCCAGCAGGTGAACTAAGGAATTAAAATGCTTTTTCACTACTAAGTTTTTGACCATTTCGGAATTACATGTAAGAAATGTAAAATATTGTTGTCATTTGGTATCTTAATATAACTTATTAGACTTGGAAGATTGCTTAAGAACAGACTAGGAAAAACTACGGGATTGTTTCAGAAAACAAGTCCCTGAATGGATTTTATGTGCACTAAGTATTTTTGTTTTTGTGTCACAGGGATTGAATGTAGAGCCTTCATGGTGAGCTATATCCCCAGCCCTTTTATTTATTTTATTTTAAAACAAGGTCTTGCTAAGTAACAGTTATACAGGCTGGGCTTAAAACTTGCAGTCCTCCTGCCTCAGCCTCTGAGAGTGCTGGGATTATAGGCATGTGCTTCCATGCCTGGTTGTAGTTTAAAAAGAACAAGAAATTTTTTTCTTGGTGGCAAGAAATTTTAATCTATTCAAGATCCTCTGCTTACTTAATTGGAAGTTTTTTATGTGCCCTATTGTGACAGAATTTAATATTTAATTTAATATTTATTTAGAAACTGATTATTGATGAGAAGAAGTATTACTTATTTGGGAGAAACCCTGACTTGTGTGACTTTACCATTGATCACCAGTCTTGCTCTCGGGTCCACGCTGCACTGGTTTACCACAAGCATTTGAAGAGAGTTTTCCTGATAGATCTCAACAGTAGTAAGTATTTTTCTCCCATTTCACATGTTGCTGATGGACAGTATGAAAATATTTTTTGGGTTCTTTTGTTTGGAAAGCTTGTTTTATTGCATGTCAAGAGAAAAGATTTTTATATTTGATTTTTAAATTAGGTCTTCACTATTTAGTGGTTCTCCTATTTTCCTGAAATAATTGATAACTGTGAAAGGAAGAGGGTTTGGGGGGAGTACTGTCCTGAGGGAGGTACTAAGTATATCTAGAGAACAAACCTGGCACCCTGGAATGAGGGAGTTTAAGTACTCAGGTATTTTGGGACTGTGATAATTGTGTTTCAGTTTAGGCAGAAGCCATGCTTAACCCCATTGATGTAATAGAGCTGCCGTACGGTACATTTTAAAGGTACTTGTTTGAGCAAAATTTAATCTACTGTAGTTTCTTTATCCCAGCTACCCTTTGCTTTGGCTGTGAATTATATCAATTTTAATTTCATGCCCTCACTCCGTAACAAGATTTTAAACTTTCCCTAAGATAATTCACAGCTTTACAGTTGCACCTTGGCTATGTGGGCTCCTTAAGTTTGTTCATTTTGCCTATTTATAAACAGAGTGTAAAATGTAGGAAAGGGTCCTGCTTCCTGGCCTCATCACATGGAAATCCTCTCCCAACAACACACACAGACACACAGACCACCCCAGTCTTACGTAAGGGACTTGGTGAGTCTTGCTGTGTAAGTCCTTATCTTTTCTCTCCATTTTATAACATGTAGAATGCTGACATGGAAAAATATTCAGAATCTCATAGAATTTTGGCCTGCCTTAACACTGGCATTGTACCTGTTTTGGTCAAGTTCCTTTCTTGTCCTTAGGAAAACATGAGCATAGCTGCCACTAGGCCAGCAATTTTTATATTCCTTAGACTTGGAGCTGGAGAAAGCAGCTTCCTGAGGGCATGGCTTCTGCTGGGTTGGAGCCAATCCTGTTAGACCCAGAATGGAGTTAAGCCTGTCTATCAGAGGGAACAGGCAGTGGTGTTTCCTACTTGGAGGAACAAAATATCTGAAGATGTATAAGAAATCAACTGAAGAGAGCCGAGTGTGGTAGAGCATACCTATAATCCCAGCATTCTAAGAGGCTGAAGCAGAAGGATTGCTGTGAATTTGAGGCCAGCCTAAGCTACAGTAGTGAGTTCAAGGACAGCCTGAACTACGTAGCAAAACGCTATCTCATAAAAGAAAAAAAGTACAAAAAAAAGGAAGAGAAATCCACTGTATAACAAATCCACTGAAGAGTTTAAAGCTCAGTGAAGGAGTTTTCCTTCTCCCTGTAATACATGATGGCGGATACAGTGGATCCAATGGCATTTTTATTTTTAAAAGTTTGTTTTCTGGCCATAATTTTTCTATAACTTTTAACAAAAAACCCAAACTTATGTTCTGGGAGGCACTGACCTGAGAAGAGAGCTGAAGATAATGCTCTACTTTTTATTTGGTTTGTTGTTGTTGTTGTTGTTTGTTTTGTTGTTGTTGTTGTTGTTGTTGTTTTTTGAGACAGGGTCTCACCACATAGTTGAGACTGACGTGGAACTCGCTATGTAGCCTAGGCTGCTCTCGAACTCACAGTGATCCTCCTGCCTCAGCCTCCCGAGTGCTGGGATTACAGGCGTACACCACCATGCCCGGTGATGCTGTACCTTTTAAAACTCATCCTGTTTTCGGTTTCTCCCCTAACATTCTGATTTGATTATTCCCAGCACATGGCACTTTCTTAGGTCACATTCGGTTGGAACCTCACAAGCCTCAGCAAATTCCCATTGACTCCACGGTCTCATTTGGTGCATCCACAAGGGCGTACACTCTGCGTGAGAAGCCTCAGACACTGCCATCAGCTGTGAAAGGAGATGAGAAGATGGGTGGAGAAGATGATGAACTCAAGGGCTTACTGGGGCTTCCAGAGGAGGAAACTGAGCTCGATGTAATTCTTTGTCTATGTTATTGCTTTGTCTTTGGGGAAGCTGGTTCTTGTAGTATATTGCTGTTCTGTGTAGCCTGAAGTACCAGAGATTTGAAATGCCAAGAGGTTCTCTTGAGCCCAGTAATGAGCCCTGTGGCCACCTGTGTTTCCCTGCTATTAGAATCTTTTTTACTGGCTATTAGAAGCCAAGGGTGGGCATTAACATTTTTCTGTCCTTATGATAGCTTAGAGCTATGTTGTTCAAATCAGTATCCACTAACTACATTTCAAAAACTACTGTAGTCAGTCACATGTAACTTGTAGAGTCTATTTATTGAACAGCACAAAGAAGAGAATACAGTCAGCATGTTCTGTATTCTCAGATTCAACCCACAGTAGATTGGAAATATTCAGGGAGAAAAAAATTACATTTATACAGAACACATACAAACTTTTTTGGTCATTACTCCCTTAACTATACGGTGTAACATGTTTACATAGCACTTATATTGTACCAGTTATTATTAGTAATTTAGGGAGAATCTAAAGTATATGGGAGGATATTCATAAGTTATATACATTTTACTTGAGGGGCTTGAGCATCTTCAGGTTTTGATATCCACAGGGAGTTCTGGAGCTGGTCCCCCTCAGGTGCTCAGGGAGGACTGCATTTGCACCATTGCAGAAAGTTCTGTTAGCCAGCGAGACACTTGCAGTTTTGTAGCTTTTCTGTTGCTGTCCAAACTCCGGTAGTCTTCTGAATAGAACCAAACTGCTTCCAGATTGTTTTTGTTCCTATGTATTTACTATTCCTGTATACTAAGACCACTTCCTAGTATTTAGGAAGAAAAGCACAATAGAAATCTTACAGGTTAGAATTCATTTTGTTCTCATGCCGGGAATGTAGCTCAGAACCTGCTTGGCAAGTGTGAGGCCCTGAGTTTGATTCCTGGTACCAAAAAAAAGTCATTTTGTTCTTAAGAGGTGGCCTCATCATATTTAGGGACCTTGCTTCTCCCCCTCCTGGCTGCCTCCATGCTTCCGTGTCTTTTAGCTCAGCGTGTTAGATCTTCTGGGTCTTCATTCTGAGACATTCTAAATGTCTCACACTGCAATGCCAATTGAAGTAAATTGAACAGATTGTGAAGAGGCAGGCAGCAGTATTAAGGCTGGGTTAATCATGGAGATGGATTGATGGCTATGGTACAACTGAGGCCAGATATATGAAAGGGAATGACAAAAGATTGTCAGAAATGAAATGCACTGACAGTATCCTTAACAGTTATAAAGGAGAGAGTTCCTGAGAAAGCAGCAGCTAGTTATTCTTTTTCATCTCTTATCTAAAAGAACTCTTGGAGTTCCTCCATTACATTTCCTTTAATTTTCGCATGAATGCATATAGTGTTCCTTCAGAAACAAACAAAAAAACCCAAAAAAACACCACCACAGCAAAAGCAACAATACAACTCAAGGCCTTTTACCTTTTTTTGGTACTGGGGATCGAACTCAGGGCCTTGCACCTTTACCTTCTTTTAAATAGCACTCCTTCGCTGGTCTGTGAGGATGTTCTGTGTTCTTTTGAGCAAGAGTTATTAGTGTTACCAATCTAAGAACAATATGAATCTCTAAATGCAGAAGAACTTCATCTGTCTTGCCGGCCAGTGTAAGCTCCTGATGCTTCCTGCCGTTTATTTAATAATAGTATGTTTTTCATCAGATTCCCTATTTACTGACTTCTATCTTTCCTGTGTGAACCCTGGCCTAGAACCTGACAGAGTTTAACACTGCCCACAACAAGCGGATTTCTACCCTTACTATAGAGGAGGGGAATCTGGACATTCAGAGACCAAAGAGGAAGCGGAAGAACTCACGGGTGACTTTCAGTGAGGATGATGAGATCATCAATCCAGGTGAGATCTCTTCTTGGTTCCTTGTGATGAAAAAGTTGTTATCTTGGAGTAATATGTGCAGCCTACAGGACACTTGGAGCATTTCTCAGCAAATGTTAGCATAGGGAAGGGGACATTCATTTGAGAGGGGGTATTTTTGTACAATTCATCCACAGAGTACCCTCAACACTGAAGCATTATCCGGTTACAGTGCGAAAGAGAAGGCCGAAGGGAAGCTCTGGGTTTACAGAGCAAGGTAGTGATTCTCCTCTGCTGCCCAGTATGTCTGTGTCATAGTGGAAAATTATCTTCACCTCAGAACAGAACATTGTCTTCATAGAGTTTAGGCTAGGACTGGTAACTGCAAGGTTGAAGTACCTCTTGCTGCAACCACTAATCACATTGAAGACTTGCCTTGCTTACAGATAAGTTTGTATGGGAATGTTGGCAGGATGAGAGAATCCATTTATAGAGAATGCCACTAAATCTGCCATCTAGTTGCATCAGTCAAGATTTATTGCTAGGCATGGTGGCACATGCCTGTAATACTAGCACTCAGAAGGCTGAGGCAGGGGTATCACCGTGAGTTTGAAGCCACATTGGGCTCCATAGTGAGTTCAAGGCCAGCCTGAACCACATAGTGAGACCCTATCTCCAAAAGTCAAAATAAAGAAAAGATTTACTTATCGAGGCTTCTGTTAAATCACAAGTGCGATGATAGATGGATGCATAGGAGGTACTTGTAATTTATAAAGTGATAGAATTCAAGAGGTTTTTTTTTTAACTATATTTGGCAATAAATTTCAGGGGCTGGAAATGAGGAATGCAACCTATCAGATTGCTCCCCTCCTCAATTGAAATGCTAAATAGCTTGTGATCCTGAACTTAGGTTCAAAATATCAGTTATTTAAGTGGGAATCAATCTGCTTCACTGTCAGACCTAGGAAAGAAAAGACCTAGGGATTTTTAGTTAACTGAAAATACAGTCTGAGTCATCAAGGGATGTAGAAACTAATCAAGTGCAATTCAAGTTTGAATTCATAGAAGAGTGGAGGGGACAGTCACCCCACCAGTGTGTGTTCTGGCCAGAACTCCCCACATACATTATGTGGTCCTAAGGGGCGTTGGAGGCTGACAGCCATGGAAGACAAATCCCTGGGTAGTGGGGAGGTAAGGGAACTGTACTTGGGGAAAGAAGGAGAAAACATGGCCACTGCGGCCAGAAAGAAGAAAGCCAAAACCAGAGCCAGAGGGTACCAAGTATTTGACTCATCATTTAAAAAAAAAAGTGGAAAGTAACGAATTTCTGGCCTATATTTAGAAGAAGACTGAAAAAGATTCCTATGAAAGAGATCAGGGCGTTCATTCTACTGACTGCAAGTTCACTTTCGGATGGTGTGTGAAGTGGCATGGACTCCTTCTCAAAGGTAGTGAGTGCCCAAGGGAAGTTGTTCACGCAGGGACTAGATGACCAGTTTCCATAAACCGGATCGTCCCCTCCTTCCCCTCCTAGTACTAGGGGACTGAAGCCATGAGCACATGGCCACTGAGCTACATCCTACCCATTTGAGGCCAGGTTGCTCAGCCTGGCCTTAAATTTGTGATCTTCCTGCCTCAGCTTCCTGAGTAGCTAGTATTATAGAGTAGTAGCTGGGATTATAGGTGTATACCAGGGTGCCTCACTTTAATTTTGTATTTTTAAGCAAGTTTCTTGCTTAAATAGCCAGCAATTTGAGAACTACTAGACAAGAAAATCTCTTAGTCTCTTTCAGGAAGCAGGGTCTGATCTACTGTGTTTTTCTCCTTGAAAATAGTGCCCTAGGGCTTTATTAAAGCATTGTGTTCAGGCAAGATAACATAATGCTTAAGAGAGCTTGATCAAGTGACTTAGTATGACTGTTGACTTCACAGGCCTGGCAGAAAGATTAAATGAGTTAATGTGTGCAAAAATACTTAAGGTTAGTGCTCATTACTTAGCCCTTAAAAATTGTTGACCAGTATCCCATCTTATCTTCCTTATCCGTGCAGCCTTTCCTGCAACAGAGTTAGCAAGGAATTGGGGTTGGGTCATCAGGAGCACAGATATCCTAGACCCATGTAGCCTTCCTCTTTAAGACTAGAATCTAGAGAGAGAAGGAGAAGAGGGTGTGGACCCCCTGGAACAGCTTAGCTCTGCGCTGCTGCAGGCCTCTGGCACAGGAGGGGGATGTCACCCATTCCACTTGGGCCCCATTTGCCTTAGCCCTCATCACCCTTGCTGGAGTGTGATTGGAACAGTTTCCGAGAGGTGAGAGAAAAGATTGTGCCTTTTGAGAAATAGTATCTTTTCCCTAATGACCTAAGGTATCCATGTAGAAGCCATTCAGTGAACAGATTGGTATAGCTGGGGATAATCTTCAGAGGCATCTTATTATATGAAAAGGTAGACTTACATAAACCAGGAACTAATTATTCTTATTAAATAGACATTCTGTGTTTTCTAAGAGATTTCATAGGAGTGCTTTTTCAATAGCAAGCAACTTTAGTACCTTCAAAATATTATATAATATCTGTTAGGGAACAAGGTTTCTCTTCTACTACAATGTAAGCTAAAGGGAGCCTGGAGTAGTTTTCAGCAGTAGTAATGAAAGGTCTGTCTGCCTTCTCCACGTGCTCAGCCTTTGAAGAGAAGACTGTCCTAAGAGCACATCCCATACACCTCTTGATTTTCCAGGAATGCCATTTTCTTTTTGATGTGCTTCTGTGTTTGTGAACTATCTGTCTCTGTTTCTCTGAACTCCTTAAAGGCAGTACACTATCTTGTTCTTTATTTCCATGCCTGATAACCAGTGCATGAGGCTTGAGAGAGTGCTGTCTCCCTGCAGAATGAATAAAGCCAGAAGCTTTGTAGAGTACAATGTTACATATGTAGGCTTTTAAAAAGGAGCTGCTTTCTCACCCTCCTTAGGCAAAAGTCTTGATTGTAAGGCAGATATGGTGGTGCATACCTATAATCTCAGCCCTGGAAGGCTGAGGCAGAAGGAACATAAGTTCAGATCCAACCTGGGCAACTTTGTGAGACCTCTGCTTCAAAAATTTGAAAAGTTGTACCAGGCATGGTGGCACACACCAGTAATCCCAGCACTATGGAGGCTGAGCCAGGAGGATCGCCAAGAGTTTGAGTCCAGCCTGGACTACATATTGAGGCCCTGTCTCAAAAATTTTTTTGATTATATACAGTTTAAAGTAGGGCATAAATGGTGCACACATGTAATTCCAATTGCTGGGGGTGTTGAGGAAGGAGTATAGTAAGTTCAAGGCCATCATGGGCAACTTAATGAGACTACATCTCAAAACAAATCAAAAAAATATATAGTTAAGTTATTCAGATTAAAAGGCGGGGGTGAGTTTAAAGCCCTGGGTCTGAGTCTTAAATCTGTTCTTTGCCAATAAACAGGTATTAGCCAGCTGTGAAGTATGTGACCTCTTGTCATTGTTTTATCAGTCATATGAGATTGGTAATTTTTACCATTCCCTCCCCCCAGAAGAAATGTGTGGAATGGGAAAGAACTTGGGGAAGGCAGCACAGTGCTATGGTCTGGAGCGCAGGCCTATCTGGCTACTGGGGCTCAATTCCCAGCTTCTCCTCTCCACCAGATGACTGAGCCTGTCTCTACTCTAAGCTTCAGTCTGTTTTCTTGTCTATCTAATATTGATTGCAGTAGAACTTAACTTGTGGGGTTGTTGAGAGGATTTAGCACAGAGCCCAGTACCTGGTAAACACTTTTGGGGTTGGCTTTATTATGGAAATATGAGTCACTGTGCATGTTTGGTTTCAGTGGGTTCTGTACCCAAATGGAGTACCAATCCAACTCTATCCTCATCTTCTTTTCAGAGGATGTGGATCCCTCAGTTGGTCGCTTCCGGAACATGGTGCAAACTGCAGTGGTCCCAGTCAAGGTAGGAAGTACATTTTAACAGTATTTAAAATGCCTGGATTCAAAACCCAGTTAGGGGGTGGGGCACAGTTCAGTAGTAGAGTATGTGCTTAGCATGTGTGAGGCCCTGACTTTGATCCCTGGAACCGCAAAAAACAAATACCACCAATGGCACAACTACATTTTGGTTTATGTAGATGGGTGTTAAGTGAGTGCATAATTTTAAAACATTCTCTCTCCATTTTTCATCTGTGGAAACACTCTTTCTCTGTACCCCCTCATGTCTATCGAATCCTGGAGTACCACAGAAAAACTGTAGGTGACCTACCAGTGTGATACGACATGTAAATTATGTGGCATGTTAATCTGTAAGTTTACCTTCCAGAAGGGTGCAGAAAGAGGCCCATCTTCCCTTTCTTTGGCCTTTTCCTTTTGACTCAAAATAAGCATCTAGGTGAGAGAGAAGCATTTGCAGCACTGCACATCTGTGGCTTTTGCCAGACCGTTATTTTGTGAACTGGAAAGGTACAGTTAGTAAGGTCAGTCTAGATCTGGATTAGATTTAAAGATAAAGTATGTTAGAGAACTGAGAAGTAGAAGGTACAGAGACATTCTTATTCCCAGCATGTGAAGGAACTTCCTAATGAGTAGAACTGTCTACACTTGATTTTAGCCAAAAGGCCAATTTTGGTACCGGGGATTGAACTCAGGACCTTGCACTTGCAAGGCAGGCAGCAGAACCACTGAGCCTAAATCCCTGGCCAAGCAGAACTGTCCAAAAGGGTACAGATTGCCCCTGGAAGTAGTAAGATCATACATAGTAAGTCCCTGTTAATTGCAGTATCCAGAAGTGACTGGAAACCAATACTGGCTGTAGTAGTGGTACTCAGGAAGCTAAGCCAGAAGGATTGGGAGTTTGAAGCTAGCCAGAGAGAAACCCTGTCGCAAAAAAAAAGAAAGTGTTGAGCATGTTTAGAGATGTTACAGGGAGTTTCAATTTTAAGAAGTCTTTAGAATGAATTCATCTTGATATCCATGAGAAATTGTTTCTGGGACCCCTTTGAATATCATTAGAGTCCATGGGTGCTCCAGTCACCTATGTAAAATGGTATAGTATTTGCATATAACATCCACTTGCCCTCCTCAAAGTATACTTTAAGTCATCTCATCAATACCAAACACAATGTAAATAGTTGCTGTACTATTTTGTTTAGAGAATGCTGGCAAGAAAAAAGACTGTACGTACTTAGTGTAATTTTTTTCCAAATACTTTTGATCTTCAGTTGAGTGAGTTCAAATTTGGAACCCATGTATATTAGACTGAACTGACAAGATATGTCAGTGTTCCTACTTCATCTTTGTTTTAAATTCAAACACAGTAAAGGGTGAGAAGCATCTTTTATGAGCTTTAGTGCAGTATGAGAAATTAAATTAATTTTTTCCTGTAGGTTGCCATAATATGTCACATTTTCCCCTGAGCTCTGTCTCCTTTGTCTTCCTCTGTAATCTATTATCATTAAAGTACAAAATTGGGAGATAGCTTTGTCTTTTTTCCCTTTGGTATAGTAGAGGCCTCACAATGCTACACAATTGCTGTATTACTGAGCTAAATCCTCAGCCCTTTTAAATTTTTATTTTGAGACAGTCTCTTAAATTACTCAGGCTGGCCTTGAACTTGAAACCTCTCTGCCTAACCCTCTGTGTAGCTGGGATTATAGACATACACCACCGCCACAATTTTATTGTGATATAATTTATATACAGTAAAATGCAAATGTTTAAGTGTATGGTTTGAGTTTTCACATGTGGATACACCTGGGACATGGTGGCCCACACCTGTATCACTGTCACTTCAAGGCCAGCCTGGGCTACATAGTGACTTTAAGACCTAACCTCGACTGCATAACAAAACCCTGTCTCAAAAATAAAGCAAAACGAAACATATGGATACACCTGTGTAATCATTATTATAATCAAGATATAGATTATATATATTTTTTTTGTTTTTGATACCAAGGATCTAACTCAGATCCTTGCGCTCGTAAGGCAGGTGGTGGAACCACTGAGTTAAATCCCTGGCCCTAGATTATATATTTTTGAAGGAACATCAAAAAGTTCCCTCATGTCCCAATGCAACCGGTTCTTTCCAACTCAGCCCTGGACCACTAGTAAACTACTTTAGAGATGGAGATGGAACCAGGACTGGTGATACATGGCCTGTAACCCCATCTTCTCTGGAGGCTAGACAGGGGAACTCAAGTTGGAGGTCAGCCTGGGCTACTTAGCAAGACTGTATCAAAATAAAAAAATAAAAAGAGGGGCCGGGGATTTAGCTCAGTGGTTCTGCTGCCTGCCTTACAAACTCAAGGACCTGAATTCAATCCCTGGTACAGAAAAAAAAAAAGTAAGAGTTTGGGAAGCCATTTGGCACTCCCTCATTCAGTCCCCAGTGCTGCAAAAGTAAAATAATAACGAGAAAAATTGGAGCCACGTGTGCTGGTGCATGCTTATAATCGCAGCTGCTTGGGAGGCTAAAGGGGAATGATCATGAATTTGAGTGTACCTTAGGTAACATAGTGAGATCTTGTCTCACAAAAAGAAATAGCTGGGGCGTGGTAGCGCATGCCTGTAATCCCAGCACTCGGGAGGCTGAGGCAGAAGGATCACTGTGAGTTCAAGACCAACCTGGGCTACATAATTCCAGGTCAGTCTCAACTACATGGTGAGACTTTGTCTCAAAAAACAAAAAAACAAAAAAAAAAAAGAAGAAGAAAATAAAATAAAGAAAGAAGTAAATAAAAATTGGGCATCCAGCTGGGACAGAGATATACTCCCTACAGTCCCAGAACTTAGAGGACTGAGACAGGAGGATCGCTTGAGCCTAGGAGTTAAAAGCTGTGGCATGCTGTGCACTATTTTGTTGTCAATATAGTGGCTTTCCAGGAATGGAGAACCACCATTTGCCTAAGGAAGGTAAACGAGCCCTGATCAAAGGTCAGAACTCTGGAATATCCACTGAAGTCTAGCCTCAATAATGTAGCAAATCCTTATCTTTTATATTAAAAAAAAAAAAAGTTGGTTGTGTAGCTCAGTGGTAGGATGCTTTCCTGACATGACAAGGCCTAGCCTAGGTTCAATCCCCAGCCTCAAGAAGAATCGGGTACACGACATAGAAGTATCAACTTTTTATATTCTCCCTCAAAATGAAAATGGCTGAAATAGCACTTTTATTTCTTGAATCATTTTGAGAGGGAGAAGTTTGATCCAAGATGTAAAGAATAGCCATTAAAATTCCATCAGTTTTACTTTATGTAGAGCTTAGAATACCGTCCTCATTTTTCTCCATTTGACATAGAATGGTAAAAACTTTATGGGAGTCAATGTGATTTTCAGACCTCAGATTTCAAGACTGTGCAGTGGGTTGTCTAGGGATAAGAGCAGACTAGAAGACAGATCTTGCCAGGCATGGTGGTGCACGCCTATAATTCCAGCACTCTGGAGACTGAGGCAGGAGGATCGCTGTGAGTGTGAGGCCAGCCTGGGCTGCACAGTGAGTTCCAGGGCAGTCTGAACCACATAGACTCTGTCTCAAAAAAAATCTTTCCCAAAGGCTATTTTTCTAAGACTAGATTGGAAAACAGAAACAAAAAAACTGCTCTTGTGCTTCCTTTCTTATCTCCTCTCTCCTTCTCTCCCCCATCCTCCTGGCAAATCACAGAAGAAGCGGGTAGAAGGCCCTGGCTCCCTGGGCCTGGAGGAATCAGGAAGCAGGCGCATACAGAACTTTGCCTTCAGTGGAGGACTCTACGGGGGCCTGCCCCCCACGCACAGTGAAGCAGGCTCCCAGCCACATGGCATCCACGGGACAGCACTCATTGGCGGCTTGCCCATGCCATACCCGAACCTCGCCCCTGACGTGGACTTGACTCCTGTCGTGCCATCAGCAGTGAACATGAACCCCACACCAAACCCTGCAGTCTTTAACCCTGAAGCCGTTAATGAACCCAAGAAGAAGAAATATGCAAAAGAGGCTTGGCCGGGCAAGAAGCCCACACCTTCCTTACTGATTTGATATTTTTGGTCATGGAAAAGGGTGGGAGTGGGTGGGAGTGGGGTGGAAGGGTGACGAGGGAGCTGATGTACTAGGGAGAAAAACTTTCCACGTGTGCAGTATCGTCTTTCAGAGTGTCTCCTGGGGTCCTGACCATGTATATTAGACTGGGGTGGGCTGAAATACCCCACGAAGCTGTCTTCACAACACTGCTGGTGCAGAGAAAGGTTTGGTAGGTTGTTTTAAGTAGACCGCTCTGGCTCTTTCCCAGGCTTCCACTGCCTCCTGATCCTTCCCCCTCTCTCCAGTATCATTTTTATGTGATGTCGCATAGCCCAGGTAGAACCCAAAGCTGTGGAGGTGGCAGTAGCCTCTCCAGTTTTGGGGATCCGGCAGCCTCATTTACATTTTACTACCATTGCAAATCCCAGGTAGCAAAAGGGTTGCCATGGATCCCACACTGATAAAAAAGGGTTAGCATTCTCAAGTTAAGCTAAGGTTTAAACTAAAAAATGTTTTCTTGAGTCAGTGTTGGGTTTTTTTGAGGGGGTACTGGGGATCGAACTCAGGTCCTTGCACTTGCCGGGCAGGTGCAGCCCCACTGGGCTACATCCCCAGTCTGAGTCAGTGGTTTTGAGGTCCAATAGTTAGGCTTTCTTTTGTCCTTTCTGTTGGAAGGAGGACATTTTGATTTGCCTTTGTCTATGACCAGTGCAGGTGTATAGTTTTTAACTTGCAGTATACTGTTTAACTTTACCTATTTTCTTGTCAAACCTCAGCCCTCCACTTACCTCAGTTTCTCAGTTCCAGAGTACTGTCCTCTACTCTGCGGCATTACTTTGCTTTTTCAGTGTGTCATGAAGGCAGTTTTTTTCAGGATATGACCAATTAGGGAAATTCAAATTAAAAAGAAAATGTTTTACTCTGTGAGCAGTTAATGTCTCTTGGGGGACATTTTTACCTGTTGGTGTGGAGGCTCTTCCCCCTCAGTTGAGAGCTCTGCTTCCTTGGAGCTCCCAGCGTAGACCTAGCTGACAAACAGGAGACCGAGGTAGGAATCGTTGATATGAGCTTTGTACAGAGATTTGTACATTTGTGTAATAGGGCTTTTCATGCTTTATGTGTAGCTTTTTACCTGTAGCCTTTATTACATTGTAAATTAAATGTAACTTTTGTCACTCTGGTGCAGCCTTGAGTTCGTCGTCCCCATCACTGATCATCAGGGGACTTTGTCAGACTCGTGGCCTTCAGGCTGGGAGGTGATGCTTTGGTCCCCACTTTATACCACAGAATGATGGCCCCTGATCAGTGTGGCTATTCTAATCGGAGATGCGAATCCCCAGACTGAGGCCTCACAAAGCAAAGTGGGTTAAAAGGCGCTTGTTGCCCTCATCAGACAGAACAGGGGTCTCACAAGTGAACACTGGGCATCAGGCACGTGTCCTGGGGTGAGCCAAGCCTGGTCACCCACTCATATTTGCAGTACAGCTCAGTGGCACAGGAGCGAAAGAAGCGGAGAGAATTTGGAGGGGCTTTCAGCAGGAGTTTTCGTGGAATGATTGCATCCTGCTTCCTTGGCTCATCTGCAGTAAGTGCTCCTTAGGGACAGATGTGTGGCTTTGTGATGAAGATGCCGCTCCGTTATAATCTGGGGCGTGAGAGTTTGGACTCGCAGCAGGAGCAGCCTTCCAAAGAACAGGTCCATGACATCACAGCTATACAAAAGCTGGCCGCACAGGTTCTGTAAAGACCAGTGTCCTCATAAGGCCATTACTTCCTCTCACTGGAGTGAACAGTCACCCACCACATAGCCACACAGCGTGCCATTTTCGTCTCATAGCCCATTTCTGTGCACAAATGGGAGGCTCAGACGAAATAGCCTCACTGTGAAACCCTACTCTGAATCTAGAGCCCACATGCTGACATGTGGTCTTAGGTCGGGTAAGGTGAGAGACCTTGGCCTGTGACAGGCACTGCATTAGGCTAGGCTGTGACTAGATTTTCTCTCCTCTGTTTTGAAGTTACATAACCAAATTGAACAACCTTTCAGAAGTATAGTGACCTAAAGGATTTAGATTTAGTTTAGGTAAAATATATCTTTTTTGGGAGAAATTATGTTGTGCAGTTTTGGTGTCAGAATGTATGTTGGAAGCTAGATAGGCTGGCACATGCCTGTAATCCCAGAGCTCAGGAGGCTGAGGCAAGAGAATCACTGAGTTTGAGGCCAGCCTAAACTATATTGTGACACCCTGTCTCAAACACGCCCCCCCCCAAAGAATTTGCACTGGAGAGTAAAACTTGTGCTAGCCATCTCGAGGTTCAACTAAAAGTCCCAACAGGAAAGGATGTTTATTTCATTTCAAGGATCCAGCCAACCTAAGTATGGTGGCAGGAAGTTGTGATCCTAGCTACTCGGGAGCTTGAGGCAGGAGGATCACAAGTTCAAAGCTTGTCTGGGCAATTTAGTGAGATTTTGATTCAAAAGTAAGCATTACTGGTGTAGCTTGGTGGTAGAACTCTGCTAGCATGTATAAGCCTCTGGTTCAATCCCCACCACCACAAAAGGACTCCATGTACTTAGGTACAAGCATGACTGGCTGCACTTTGTTTGTGTGGATCTGGCTTATCTGATGCCATGTTTTAACTTCATTCAAACCATGGTTTAGTGTCCCTCAAAGCTAAGTATCCCAAAGAGCACCCCAAGATGGGGCTGGGAGTTTGGCTCAGTGGTTCTGCCGCCTGCCTCGTAAGTGCTAAGGTCCTGAGTTTGATCCCCAATACCAAGAAAAAAGAAAACACTCCAAGAGAGGGCTCAGTCTTCTCATCCTTATCCAACTCTGCATGACAACTATAGTTCAGCCCCTCCTCACTACCAGGTTTGGCAAATGATTTTTTTGTTTGTTTGTTTTTTTTGAGACAGGGTCTCACTATGTAGTTGAGACTGACCTGGAACTCGCTATGTAGCCCAGGCTGGTCTCGAACTCACAGCGATCCTCCTGCCTCAGCCTCCCGAGTGCTGGGATTATAGGCATGTGCCACCAGGCAAATGATCTCGTGCATGTGGGCACGATGCTGCTAGGGAACATGGCCTGTTGCGTGGGGACACAGGCCCACTGTGGATGAGAAGTGACTTGTTTTCCCCAGAGTTCCATGTATACTAGCAGGTGGTCTGCCAAGGAAGGAAGGCCTGCTCCATCTCCCCTCCCCAGGGCAGAATCCTGGGGAGAACACCCACAGAACAGGCGGTGTCTGGAGACCTCCCTGCTCAGAATCAGCGGGGTGCTGGCCTAAAACACTCATCATTTTGTGAAAATAGACTTCTAGGGTCAGAAGAGACTCAGGGCACCCTGTCCAGAACTCTCATTTGTGGGTGGGCAATGAGTTTTTGCAGCGGCACTGGACTGACACAGATGAGTAACCCCCCACGCCACCTGAGGGGCCACCTTCTGGAACGAAGCATCTTCAGGCACTGCTGGTGGTGAGACCTCTAGTGGCGGAATTGAATAGATCCTGACCTAGACTTGAGGGTCAGGAAGGCTTCTGGGGGGCGGACATAAGCTTAGCCAAGCGCTAAAGAACAAGAACTTAGTATCTGAGGAGTGTGAACCAAAGTTTTCCAGGTAAAGGATCTGGTATGGAGATGGTAGGCAGCTGGGAGCGGGGGCAGAGTTCCTCTCTACGCCTTCCTGGGGAATTTGAAAGTACCAGGAAGGAATTTTCTTTTACACACACACACACACACACACACACACACACACACACACACACGACACGCGGCATGCTTGGGTATATAACATGCACACACACCTACCTTCCTCATCCAGTGTTGGAGGTTTCCTTGAAGGGTGGTGGTGACTGGTCAGATTCCCCTAGAGGGGGAAAGGGTCATGGAGACCTGCTGACCAGCTACACTTGATGGCTCCAAGTGGTGGAAAGGAGGCTACCAAGCAGAAGCAAAGATGAGGCGGAGTGGGTTGAAGCCCTTGGCATGTGACAAGGTGGTACGAAGGTCGGATATCTGCAGAGTTCTCTGGAGGGAGTCATTGTTTCTGCCCTGGGAGGTCTGGATTCTGAAGCTTCCACCTCTTCAGAGGCAGAAGTGCAGTTCCAGAATATGCCAGCAGGTGGGGCCCTGGGCCCAACCTTGGAGCCACTATGGTAACCAGGGGGGACACCCAGGGCTGCAGGGCAACAGAAAGGGAAGGAAAAGAATCTGACTCATTGGGCCCTGGGCACTTTCTGGGCCTCGTCCCTCCCAGTTCCTCCAAAAGTCTTGAGAAGAAGTGGGTTTTACAGACACAGAACTTGTGGCTCAGCCCACAAGATGAAGGTCACAGCAGGCGTGTAGTAAAGCAGGTTTCACACATGGCCCTCACGTATGGGACCATGAACAGCACCCAGCAGCCCCTGTTTCTGGATGCTGCCCTGCCTGTTCCGGAATTTGGAGAAAGCCTGGTTTTCGGTCCATTTCTGATTTTTTTCTTGTCTCCATCTCTGGTACCTTTTGTGGTAGGTAGGACTTCAAGTACTGAACCTCCACACCTACGCCCAGTTGAGGCCGGGGCTCCTGCAGACAGTGCACTCCCAGCCCAGGATGAGGTTCCTGACAGAACATGCAGAGAAGATGTGAAAGACAGAGAACCCACCTGCCTGCCTCAGCCTCCCCACCACACCCCACCACCTTCATTCCTGCCCTGAAGCTCTGTGGAGCCTGCCTTCTCCCTCCTGCTGTGGTTCCTTCCACCCGCTCTCACTGTCCCTGCTTGCCTGTCCTCTGGACACTCATGGCAGGATTCAAATGTGCCATTACTGTTCTTGCAGAAGGAAAACAAAGCAGAAAACCTCTCTTGACTCCCCCCGCTGGCTACCTGAGCTTCCTCCCTATTTCTCTGCTCTAATTGCTATCTCCAGTTCTTTTCCTCTATTTGCTGCTAAATCCACTCTAGTCAGGCTTGGCCATGACATGCCGTTAAAACTGTGCCTAGCTGGGCAAGGTGATGCACACTTGTGATCCCAAGTACTCTGGAGGCTGAGGCAGGAGGATTGCAAGTTGAAGGTCAGCCTGGACAACTTAGTAAGAGCCTGTCTCCAAATAAAATGGAAAGGCTAGATGTGGCTCAGTAGTCCTCTAGGACCTATCCCTACTACTGAAAAGAAAAAAACAGCAACAACAAAAAACAATAACAAATACCTATGCCTGCTAACGACCTGTCAATCACATTCACTTCTGAAGGCCCCTTGTCTCCCTCAGAGAGAGTCAGGCTGTACTGTGGCCTGCATGCCTTTCTCTTCCCACGCCCTCACCTTCCATCGCCTGCTCTGCTCCTCTCCCTGGTCTCTTTCCTGCAGCTCCCTGGGGTTCAGTAGCATTCCATGCCTGTCCTGTCCCTATGGTTGGGCCTCTTCTCAGCCCAGTGTCAGCAGGTCTCCTTTACCCCTGCTTCCACGTGAGAAGGAAAGCAAGGCCAGGCCGTAGGACCAATAGTGTCAGCAGGTCTCCTTTACCCCTGCTTCCACGTGAGAAGGAAAGCAAGGCCAGGCCGTAGGCGCTCTTGGCCGTAGGCCAAGGCCTGGCGCTCTGCTGGCTGCAGAGTTACTGCACTGAACGCAGACTAAACATGTGCACTGCCCAAATCACAGAACAGACCCCACGGCCCCCAAAGATATGTCCACCTGGAACCTCAGAACAGGACCTCATTTGGGATTAGGGTATTTGCAGAAGAATTAAGGTAAGGACCTCAAGATGAGATCCTGTGTATTAGAGCAGGCTCCAAATCCAAAGAGCCCAGACTCAGAGTGGAAGCCACGTGACGATGGAGGCAGAGACTGGAATGAGTTGTCTGCAACCCAAGAAAGGTCAAGGACTTCCGGCAACCACCAAAATCAAGAGGAAGGCAGGGAGCAGACACATTCTCTCTAGAGTGTCAGAGGAGCTGGGCTTACCTCTGTAACTGTGAGAAGATTCATTTCTGTGTTTTAAGCCACCAAGTTAGGTCGCTTGGTACAGCTGCCCTTTGGAAAGTAATACAGTTGTCCTATCCTG